AGACACAGGGTTTGATGCCAGCCTGGCAAATAGTTCTCGAGACCCCAACTCAATAAAAAGCTAGCCGTGGTGGCAGCACCTGTCATCCCCGCTATGTGGGAAGGGTAAATAGGAGGATCATGGGCCAGCCCAACCTGGGCATAAAGTGAGACCCTATCTGAAAAATAACAAGTAAAAAGGGCTAGAGACGTAACTCAAGTGGTAGAGGGCCTGCTTAGCAAAACCTTAAGTTCAAATCCCAAGACTGCCAAACCGAAACAAAAAAACAGACGAAAGCAGAGGCATCATGCTACTCACCTTAAAGCATACTGCAAAGCTGTAGTGATGAAAATTTCACAGCACAGCACTGGTAGAAAAATAGATATACAAAACAATGGAGCAGAGTAGAGAACTCGGAAATGAACACACACTCTGCCAGTAATTTTTGACAAGTGCCAAGAATCTACTTCTAGGCAAGTATACTATACTCTCTTTAATAAATAGTGGTAAACAAGAACCTGGATGATTGCATGTAAAAGAATGAGAATAGATCCCTCTCTTACACCACATTAAAAAAACAACTTAAATAGATTCAAGACTTAAGAGGAAAACTGGAAACTATACACTATTAGAAGCAAACAAAGGGGAAACAATGTGACATTGGTTTGGGCAAGGATTTTTTTTGGTCAAGTAAAAGAAAAAAAATATTGTTCTGCAAAGGTACAACTTACAGAATGGGATTTCTCCCATTTGCAAACTACTTACTCAACAAAGAATTAATAAGCAGAATATGTAAGGAACTCAGCAGCAAAAACAGATGTTCCAGTTTTTAAATGGAGCTCGTGGCCAGCCCAGGCAAATAGTTTGCAAGACCCTGTCTTCAAAATAACCAAAGGAAAATGGAATGGAGAACAGAGCACTTGCTTTGCAAATGTGAAGCCCTACGTTCAAATCCCAGTTCCACCAAAGGAAAAAAAATTTTAAAAAGAAAAGAAAAAACAACAAGTGCTGGTGAGGGTGTGGAGAAAGAGGAACACATGCGTTTGTGGGACTATATATTAGTACCGCTGCTGTGGGAAGACAGTATGGAAGCTCCTCAGGAAGAGACAGCCTACACAATAGGAAATTCTTTGCCAGCTATATATCTGACAAGGGATTCAGAACCAGAATTTATAGGGAGCTCAAAAAACTAATGCCGCAAAGAATCAGTAACCCACTGAATAAATGGACAAATGAACATTAGCAGATAATTCTCAAAAGAAGAAGTACAGATGGCCAATAAATGAAAGAAGAAATGCTCAGCATCCTGGCAAAAAGAAATGCAAGTCAGAATGACACTGAGATTTCATTGTAGTCAGAATGGCTACCACACACGGCAAATGGTGGCTAGGATGCAGGGGGAAAAGGAACTCTTATACACTGCTGGTAGTAATGTAAATCAGCGCATCAGCTATGGAAAGCAAAAAAACAAAAAAAGGACCCCCTACAAATAGAACTAAATAGAACTACATACAATTCAGCCATACCTCTCCTGGGCATGTACCCAAAGTAATGTAAGCCAGGATACAGTAGAACCACTTGCATCACACCCATGCTTATTGCAGCACCATTCGCATTAACCAAGCTCGGAAACAGCCCAGACACCCCCTTCCCTCCAAAGGATTAAAATGTCATATGCGTATGAATATGTATATATAAAATGCACACACACATATACACAATGAAGTATTTATTCAGCCATAAACAAGAGTGACATTTTGTTTGCAGGTAAATGGATGGAACTAGAGAACATCATGTTAAGTGAAGTACGCCAGGCTCAAAAAGTCGGGGGTCACATGTTTTCCCTCATATGGAAGCTATACCTATGATAAATGTACACATAAATACATACATGATCATACACGCACACAGACATGATTGTGTTAGTGGGCCTGAGTGAGAGGACTATGGTGAGGCAGGAGAGGGAAAGAGAATGTTTGAGAGTGAAAAATACTGAAACATTGCTGCATTTGTGTATGAAGGTAATATAAAGCAGTGCACTGTAATGGGAACTGGATGATAGAGAAAAAGTAATAGGGGGGTTGATCTGATTAAAGTATGATATACACATGCCTGAAATACCAAGGCAAACCCCCCTGAACCTTAAAAAAGGGAAGGGCAGGGAGATAAAATCAGGAGTGGGTACCAGTGGGAAGGCATAAGGAAAGGATGAAGGAGGGCAAACATGGCAGATGTATTTTGTATTCATGTATGAAAATAGAACAATGAACTCTAAATAGTTCTAAGAAGGGGGAGAAAAGAGTATGATGGAGGTGGTGAATCTAAGATACATTGTTTGCACGTATGTAAATGTCACAGTATATTCCCTTGTACAACTGTTACTTGCTGACAAAATTTTTAAGCTAATATTAAGTGGGGAAGAAAGTTAAAAATAGAACTATCATATGATCCAGGCAGGAATCCTGCTAATGGATGTTTATCCAAAGAAAATGAAATGTGCATGTCAATATTTGGTGCAGTACTATTCACAAGCCAGGATATGAAATTAACTAAGGTGTCCATTGACAGATGAATGAGTACAGAAAATGTGGTATATATTTAAAATGGAATACTATTCAATCACAGAAATGGACGAAGTCTTATAATTTGCAGCAACGTGCATAGAACTGAAAACATAGTGTTGAGTGAAATAAACCAGGCATAGAAAGACAAATTAAAGGCTGGGCTTATAGAACTAGTAAGCAAAATGGTGATTACCAGGGGCTGTGGAGGGGAGAGGAAGGATGAGGAAACATAGCCAGATAGGAGGAATAAGCACTGGAGTTCTGCTGCACAGAGGGTGATTATAGCTGTCAATACTGTGTAAGCCAAAATAGCTAAAGAGGATTTTGAATGTTCTCATCACAAAGAAATGGCCACTGTTTGACATAATGGATAACCCAAATAGTTTGAGGTGATCAGTAAACATTGTATAAGTGTATCAAAATATCACTCTGTATCCAATAAAGATATACAATTATTAACTACCATTTAAAGAAAAAAAAATTTAAATACCCAGCTTCCCATCCTCCCCCAGTTCCCCAAGGAATCTTGATCTTTTGGGTTGGGTGAGAGAATGAAATGTAAAAGTAAAGAGGAATTAACTCTCCTTAGGCTGAGTGTTTCCATGAATTTGATACCTTTCCTTTGTAACAAATATAATCTAATCTGTCTGTTTCTTCTTGTTTACTTAAATAATGTTTGCAGAAGGCTTTCAAAAACATCAAAGAAGACTTGGACCACTGAATTTAAAATCTGTTCCCATATGATTGATGGGACAATTGCCTGTGTCTTTAGCTTATGTGCCTAATGCTACACCTCTCCATATTACTAGGTTTAGAAGTTAATAAGCCTGGATTAATTTCATTTTTATCTTTCTTTCCTGAAGATAGTAGAAAAAATGTATCAAGAATAAATGTGTTGGAATAGTTTGTACAAATTAGTAGCATATTTCAGAGAATTTTATTATAAGACTATAGTTACATTTTTATATTTTTTAAATGAAAAATTCAACTAAATGTAGTAGGAATGTCAGCTTGGAATCAAAAAGTAAGTTGCCAGGGCCTGTATATGGTAGGTGCTCAGCAGTGAGTCTTTTAAAAGATCACAAGGATGGGATTTCCAAACTTATTACCGTTTTAATATTGCAAGGTCTGCCCATAGTGAAATGAAATTTGAAGTGTTGCTAATATTGTTAGGAGAAAATAATAGTGGAAGACCCTGTGTCTTATCCATGGAGGGAAAAAAGAGATTTTTAAAAAGTGTGGTATTTGAAGCTCCTAAATATTTTTGGCATCATTTTCTTCACTTAGTAATCAGGTTAGCATGTTTTTTCTGACATAAGAATATTTTTTTCTGTACTTGCAGAGCTTCTAAATATGACGGTGTTTTATTCAAAAGTTGCTGACTAATGAGAGGGAGCAGCCTCTGGCAGCTTTGTCCTCATCTTTCCTTTCTTAGTGGCTTAGATGAAGACTAATTATTATATGCTGATCATATTTTCAAATGTAGAAATCTGAAAGAGTCAATCTGTAGAATGCCAGAATCCAGATCCAGAAAAGTCTGTAGAAGATGAAACTCAGTCATGAGTACATGGAGAACTATGCTTGGGCTCTGAATCCAACTGTATAGTTACAAGTGGTAGCTTAGCAGGATCAAGTGTGAAAAAGAATTAGGTATTTTAGGGAGTCACTTTCTTGTGGCATTGAAAAAAATGGATAAAGCCAGTACAATTTTGGGTTGCATTAATTGAAATTTGTTAGCTAGAATGAGAAAACAGAGATTCTATTGTGTTCTGACCATGCTGAACATAAATAGTGTGTGTATCAAGCTGGAGCTTATGTAAAGAAGAGTACAAAAGGGAAGTGATGAGTTAGCTGGAAAACGTGGCAGGTAGATAAGAGAAATGGCTGAAGAACTTGGACGTTTATTTTAGATAAGATAGTATTTGAAAGCTTCTTAGAGGAGCACTTGGGCCGGGGCACATTAACACAGGAGGTAGAATTAAGACCAGTAGCTGAATGTTAAGTGACATAATCAAAACTTTAGAAAGTCTTTCAAGCATTGGGTCTAGCCCAGAGGGGATGGGAGTTCTCTGTCAGTACATAGGGATACTGTGGAGAGGCTTCAGGCATCTGATAAGTTTATGGGTGAATGTACAAATTCTGAAATTGGTATATAAATAAATGTGAAAAGTTTGTCATATTCCTTAGTTTTAATTTTTGTGCCATTTAGAATAAAATGGTTTATTGGTATCTACACAGGTTAAGCATCTTATCTTTGATATGGTTAATACTAAGTTTATACTTGATATTTATTTTTGAACTATTCTTACAGTGATAATTGTGTATGTCACAGATCTATTTTATATCTTTGTTACTTCAAGTAAAACAGTTTTAAATATGAAACATATAGTGATTTTTGCTAAAGGCTATGTTTCCTGACAATAATTAATATAATTGATAAAATGTTGTCTTTCACAGGTGGTAAACCTATTGATGGCAATTTTGTTGACTGTGGAAGTGACTCATCCAAACTCAATGCCAGCCGTCAACATTCAGTATGAAGTCATTGGTAATTACTATTCATCTGAGAGAATGGCTGGTAGGTTTGTTGTTGTTGAAAAGGAAATATCCCATACTAATTTCATAAATATAAAGCTAATTTATAACTTACTTATGTTATTTAGAGGACAGCTGATTAAATTGTGCCTAAATGATACTTCAGAAGGTTAAATATGTTCCATAATGAGGCTAACATAAGTGCTTTTTAAGCTACTTGTTGAGGCATGCAAGTATTTTGATGAGTTTTTCAGGATATTCAGTGAAAATTACAATACAGAATTTCTAGAAAATTTAATGGGCTACTAGGTTTTTGAAAAGTGTGTAATTGTGTGTGTTGACTCTTACCATAACAGAGGGAAAGAATTGAGGACCTGTTAACAAGCGTAGTTGGGATGGAAGATTGCAAATAAAATATTACATTAAAATATAAAATATTTGAATATTTGGTGAAACCTTTTGTTCAGGGTCATAGTTCTATATATAGTTCTGTTTATATGGAGAGAGACTTAACACTAGGATTGAAAATTGAATAGCCCCTAGAACACTCAGATAACTACCCTTTTAAACGTACTTTCTCCCTGTTAGCAGTAATGTTTAATTACTATTTATCTTTCTTTCAAATATAGGTATAAAAAACTCTTAAGGGAATATTAAAATAGGTAGTTCTTGGTCATGTGGTAGTTTGTTTCTTTGAATTTGGACTTTAACTTTCCCACAGACCTAGTTAACTTCGATCATTTTAAGTAAAATGTTTGTTATTAATTATTTTTACTTACATAAATAGTATATGGTGGTCAGTATACTGGAAACACTTCTGCAATATATGCTAGCTGTTTTTCAGATGTGCTTTAAACCTCATTTGTGTTCCTTTTGGGAATGCTGCATAAACTCCAGAGAGACCCCTAGAGGAGGTTCCTGAATATCGTGGTTCATGAGAACCTGGGGTTTATATCTGGGCATCACAGATACTGGAGTGTCTGTTGTTCCAGGCATCATGCATTTTGCACATGCCACCCCCACTTCCATTTTGCTATTTGTTGATCCAGAAGAATATCTTGAACTTCACTTACTGTTTCAAAATTTCAGAACTCAAAATAAGCATAGTTTTCACATAATGAATTCTGAAAAGCTGATTATTTGAATTATAAATTTTGCTTTTAAGTTTGATAGTACTGTTCTGTAAAAGTTCATATTTTGTTTATATCTGACTTTCTAAGTGGCATTTTGCATCTGACAGCAGGGACGTCCTTTGAATATTTAGCATTTAGCTACTCTGTGTTCACCAAGAATAAATAGAGCTATTATTTAATTAGTGCCAAGTACTGTTGATTGTACTGCTCAGTGTAAATATGTATCCAGTAGTGTAAATATTTAGTAGCTATAATTATTCATCATTAGTGCCATTTAGTTTCTTAGTACCTGTCCAAAATCACAGAATCAACTATACGTTGTCCCAAGAAAGCCAGTAAGTCAAGTGTAGTTTGGTAATGCTTGAGATTATTTGAATATTTGGTGAAAAATATTAGTGAACATGGGTTAATGAGAGTTGAAACGACCTGAGAAAGAATTCAGAAGCAATGAAGAAAATAGACTTATGTTTAGAAGACAAGGCAAAGTGAAGGAAGCAATGAGTTTACATGTTTGAGATGATTGGGATGAAGAGGAGGGAACTAATAGAGAACTTTGACTTTCAGGTTGTATTTTACCAGTGGCACAAGATAGCATCGATAGTTTTATGTGTGTTATTTATCTGTCTTTTTTAAGCAAACACCAACTTTTCCTTCCAGTTAAACCCTACTCATCTCTTAGGAACCAACCTGTGTTATTTCTTTAATATTTTTTTGTGATTCTCCATGTCAAGCTAATTGTTTTTGTAGCACTTACATGTTGGATTATAAACACCTGTTTGCACATCTTTATATTCTTGGTCTCATAAGGGTACAGGGACCTGTCTCTAGGATAGTTCATGTGCCATCCTAAACAAATGTCAGTGAATTGTCGCAGCAATTTAAGAAATAGCAGCTTTATATCAATTTCTCAAGACATTTCTTGATGCTGAGACTTTGATTCCTTTTCCTTCTTGGCTTTAGAACTTTACATAGCCAATTTTGAAAACATTTACATTTAAAACATTGCTTTGTTATGAAGAATCTTGTTCTGTCATTGTATAAGCAGCTTAATTAGATTTTTGTTTTGCTTTTTTTTAGATAATGCCTGTGTTCTTTTTGCCGTCTCTGTTCTTATGTTTATAATCAGTTCAATGCTGGTATATGGGGCAATTTCTGTAAGTATGCCATATTTTCACCTTTTAGAGTTAGACCCTTACTGAGTGGTAGTTACATGATTTCATACAGAAGCTAAAATGTGGCTATTATTTTCTTCTGCAGTATCAAGTGGGTTGGCTGATTCCGTTCTTCTGTTACCGGCTTTTTGACTTCGTTCTCAGTTGCCTGGTTGCTATCAGTTCTCTCACTTATTTGCCAAGAATCAAAGAATATCTGGACCAGTTAGTAAGTGTATATGCTACTTAGACTTTTTTTTTAAGCTAAATATTTTTATTGAAATCTTGGCTCAACTTTAGGTACTATTTTTAACTACCCCATTTTCTTTTTAAGGTCAAAGATAATTACCATGTAAGATAAGAATAGAATTTCTTCTTTCCATACTGTTTGGACAATGCAGTATTAAAAGTTCCTAAAGATGGATAGCATGGAGTAGTAGTTCAGTTTTTGTTTTTCAGTGTACTAAGAGTAAAATAATTTGACTCTATTTTGGCACCTATTAAATGCTGGGTGTTTTGTCTTTATGGTGACCATAGCAAATAAATTAGTGCCCACCATATTCTTAGCGTTGTACTGGACACTGTTGGACATAAAGAGAACGTCCCTTTTCTCTAGGGAGCAAACCATTATGTTTGGGAAGTCAGGATACATGTCTGGGATAACAAACTGGAGCTGTCACATGGCAGCAGTAATAGGGGACTTTAGATTAATGCTGTGTAGTGGAGAGGGTAAGGGGCACTGGGCTGAAATGGCCAAGCATGGCTTCATGGAATGGAAGAGTTTTGGAGGGTGTTACAGAGTCCAGGTAGATGAAAGCTGGAAGGAGTATACTTGGTTTCCAAAAATGCTGTCTTTTAGAATTTTCTTCTCCCTACTTCCAGACTTCCTATCTAGTCCATTTTCCACACTACCAAATGTATCTTTTATACTCTCAAAACACATTTGTGGGTTGCTTCTTATGTGCAAGGTATCCTGCTAAATCCTAGGGATACTTCACTGAATGATACTTCATTCCAGGGATGAAGTCAGAAAACTGATGATTACTTAAATAGGATTGGAGGTAACCATGTGAATCGATATTGATTGGCTTCTAGACCTGAGCTGGGAAGTGAGATTTAAATTACACGCAGGGCTCAAGTAAGAATTAAGACAGGAAAGTACAGAAGAAATGGTCTAGGGAAACGTAGAGTCCTTGAGGCAAGAAGGAGAATGGATAGTCGAGGAACTGAAAGCTGGCCGTGCTGGCTGGCATGTGGAGGGAGGTGAGGAAGTGGCATGTGCTGAGGCAGGAAAGACGCAGCTTGGGCAGAGCCTGTGGCCTGGTCAGCTGTGGTCACAAGCGTAGTAAGTACTGTTCTCTAAGCATATCATCTGTGGCTGAAATACCACAAGCACCCTCTGAATAAAGTCCAAATTCCTTAGCATAGACTTCCTCACGTACTGGCCGTGTTCTGGTATGAAGATGGGGTCTTTGTATTAACATTTGTATTGACATTTCCACTAAAGACAGGTAAAAATTTAAGCACGAACTTAGAGTAAAGGGTATCAAAGTGAAGGCTTTTACAGACCCTGTTTTTTCCCCTCTATTTGATTCACTTAATCCCTCCAATTGGAGGGTGTACTAAATCCTAAATTCTTATTCCTAATATATTTCTCCCCAGTTTAGCTTGTCTTGTCCAGAGTCAGGGCTGGATAAGTATTTAGATGAATACAGCCAGACCTTTCCAGTAGAACATAGTATGTCTGCAGTAAATCATACAATCTTGCCTGGATTTTTAACCAGGGGCACAATGCCTTTTTTCGTCCATTTGATGAAGAGTTGAGATCAACAGTTAACTTTTCAGAAAATTATTTTCTCCTTATAGGACTCTATGGCCCATTGATACATCTCAGTACCTCCTGATTCACTGAGCTAGGGACAAATCTGGGATACAATACAGGAGATACTGTGTTTTGCCAAAGGCAAGAAAGAAAATAATGGAAAGTAAAGAGAAAATTAGCTCAATTTAGACTTTTAAAGGAGTAGTATAGTGTATTTTAACTGATTAATGAAGTACATTAATGATAATGAGGCTTGAAGTACTTTTGAGTTAAATCCTGTTTATAAGCTATTATTAGAAAATTTGGTACCTGTTGTTTGTATTCTTTAAATACTCTCCAGGTTTTCACAGAGTGCACGTGCCATAGCTGTATTATAAACATATGTGTGCTTGTGTTTTAAATAGCCTGATTTTCCCTACAAAGATGACCTCCTGGCATTGGACTCCAGCTGCCTTCTGTTCATTGTTCTTGTATTCTTTGTGGTATTCATCATTTTCAAGGTAAGTTGCTGACTAAATCTTTGGGGGACTGGTGAGACTAACACTGTTGTTCATTGACATCTCTTCACTACCTTATCTCCCCATGAGCAGCAGTGGAGGGTTTGTGGTGACCATGCTTTTTCTGCACAGTAGTAGCAAGAGCTCCTGGGAACCTGTTGTTTCCAGGGAGTAGAAGGTGTCGGGATTCTTCTCCAGGTGTAAGGAACATCTTTCTATTTTCAAGATTGGCTCATGGTTTTTATTGGAAATTTGTTATAATTCCCAACATCCAGAACTCCCTAATTTCCTCTGCAGCACAGTGGTTGCCAATCTTGAATTTGAAATCCCAACTTTAGTTTCTCTGGAAAATTTGTGACATTTAAATGAGAGACAGTAGGTAACGTGGGGAAGTTTACAAAGTCACTTGCATTTTAGAGCAGGTAGTCTCTTGAGTTTTTACATATTTAAATTTTGTCTTTATACTTTCAGGCTTACCTGATCAATTGTGTTTGGAACTGCTATAAATATATCAATAACAGAAATGTGCCAGAGATTGCTGTGTACCCTGCCTTTGAAGCACCGCCGCAGGTTAACTTGCATTTAATACATGGAATATTGCTAGCCATTATTGATCCAAAAAAAGAATGTGAAGTTTGACTTTCAGTTCTGGGCCATAAATATAGTTTGGGGGCATGAATAGCTGAAATCCAAAGGATTCTGCATTTCCCAGTGAAGATCTTGGGGATCCAGGGCTGCAGAATCCCTGAACTAGTGCACCCAGTGAGGCTGTTAGGTTTACTCATGAGTGTTGTGCTTATCGGGGAAGTAAGCTAGGAAATAGTGTTCTAATGTTTATGTAGCCTTTGGGGAGCCTAAGGATGGTGTGGTACCATTGTCTGAAATTTGTGGTGTTTAAAAAAAAAAAAAGCGTGATCCAAAAAGGGAGATTATCTGTCTGTGGGAAGATGCATGCAGTAGGTTCCAGGTGTCCGTTGAGGAGGCCTGTCTCTCAGAGCCCTCTAACTGCTGTACTATTATCTCCCCACGTTTCAACACATGGGATATATGTGCCTCATACAGGGCCGGCCTGTCACATTTGGACTCTCTTAGGTTAGAATACCACCAGCTTACAAAGGCGTGCTCATTACCCTAGAGGACGTGACAGTAGTTCATAGTCCTCTGACTACATCCAGATTATAATGAAAGTCAGGATGCAGCATCTCACTTGTGGTTTCCTAGAGAGTGGTTCAGAGGGTCTCCTGCACTCATATCTTCAGCCCCTGAGCTGTACTTGGTGTGCACACTTTATCAGTCCCAGTGAAACAAGGGAGAGCAGGAGCAGGTACTCTTCTTTCAAGGGATCCTTTGTAGCCTCAAGGGGGTAGTCTAGAGGAAGAATTCTGCCTGCCTGCCATTCTTCTCTAGCAATCTTAGGTCAGACATCTCACTTGCATGTAAAGTTCTAGACTATTTAAGCCTCTTTCAGCTCAGTGTTGTAGGTTTGTGTACATCTAGTTAGGACATAGACTCTGAAAACTGAGTTATAACAAAGGATTTTAACGAGAATTAAGTCTGATGTAATTTTTTTCTCTTTAGTACGTTTTGCCAACTTATGAAATGGCTGTGAAGATGCCTGAGAAAGAACCACCACCTCCTTACTTAGCTGCCTGAGGACGTTCTGCCTGTCAGTAAACACTACACCAGCTTCTTCTCTTGTTTATGTTACAGAATGCTGCAATACAGGGCTCTTCAAACTTGTTTGATATAAACTATGTTGTTTTTTGTGTAAGCATTTATTTTCAAACACTAAGGAGCTTTTGGACATTTATTAAAAGTCTTTTTGTTAAATCTATTACATTTTAATACTTTTTGAAGACAATCTAGGTTAAGCAAGAGCAAAGAGTACCATTGTAAGCCTTTAATTGGGGGGGGGAGGGAAAGAGGGTATTCTCCACATATTTTCTTTTTTAACTTTGCACTTTCTTTATATAATGGTTTGTGTTTTGGTTATTTGCTGCCCTGGATAATTTCAGGAAGAATGAATTCAGTATTTGGGATGAGTGAGTTGGGTATAAGATCTGAAGTTTTCAGCTATAGAAACAGGGAAAAAACACTTGACCTGGAAGATAATGGTTGCATGTTTCTAATTTGTATGTTTCCATTTTTGTGATAAGATGCTTTAATAAATCTCTTAAAAATTTACTGCTGTCATTCTTTAAAACTCATACCTTTTCCCAGTACTGAAAAATCAGCCAAACAAAAACTCTTAACCTTTTTGGGGGGCTGGATAAGGCATGGCTCAAGCAGTAGAGTACCTTCCTGCAAAGTACAAAGCCCTGAGTTCAAATCCCAGAAACTCAAAAAAGAAAAAAAACCAAAAACCCCCAAACACTTGTACCTTTTTTGTAATAAAGCCTAATGTTTTCTGTTACAATATGTAGTCATATGTACATATGATAGGATATGTTCTAAGATGTAAGTCCCTAGGGGACTTCCTCCTGTGAACATTAGTTAGAGTACACTTAAGTACAAAACCTACATGGGGCAGGTCAGTCACTCAAAGTGTCCTCTTAAGTCAAGACATGCAGCTGCTGCCAGCTGAAATTTAACAAAATTTAGTACATACATAAACCAGTAGCATAGTTGCTTATTACAAGTATTATGTACTTAGGATTATGTATAATCATAAGTGCTATATTTCTACATGATGAGCAGTTCATTGGGTTCTTTTACACCAGGAGCACCACAGAGACCTGAGTAATGCATTGCTCTAGGACATTACCAACTACAGTTTGTCACTAGGTGGGCAGGAGCTTTTTAGCTCCTTTAGAATCTTTGCTTTGCTTTCCTTTCCTTTTTTTTTTTAAACAGGGTCTCACTGTGAAGCCCAGGGTGGCCTCAAAGTGGGAATTCTACCTCACCTTCCTGGTTGTACGATTGCCAGTAGGTGCCATCACACCCAGCTTCCATTAGAATGTAATAGGTTCCCTGTCACGTACATGGTCTGTCCTTGACTGAAATGTTAGGTGGTACATAACTAACTACTCAAGGCTGCTGGGACTACATTTGAGAATCCAATGCAAGACTTAATTAGGAAGTGTTTCTTAAATCTAGTTAACTCAGAACTATTCAAGTTAAGGTGAAGATATTTCTTCAGTCATAGGCCAGAGATTTCTCTTAAGGTGGTTGGTATCAAAAAAATTCATAGTATGGCTAGTGTAGCAAGCTAAGTTTTTATGTTGTGATTTCTTAGATAATGAATTCATAAAGAACATTATAATTGACCTTAAGAGAGGAGCCAATTAACTCTAGCAATCTGATAAATAATGAGTAAGTGTAGAGACTTGATGGATGCATGAGGAGTGTAGTTGATACTGTGTGCTGGAAGATTCTGATGGATTCTAAGTGCTCTTAACATGCACACAAAGCTAACTATGGAACGTGATGGGTGGGTTAATTTGCTATAGTAATCATTTCATTTGAAAACAGCATGTTGTGTATCTTTTAAGGAAGGGGAACCACAATTTGAGTTTCTTCCTGGAAATACTCCTTTTGTAGACCCATGTATGTATTTTACACATCTGCCAAAGAAAGGGCAGAACTGTGTAAATTCACTTGTAAACACCTATTGCCACCAACAAAACCAAAACAAAACCAGTGACCTTTACATTTAGAAAACAAATATAATTGTGTCTAGGAATATACCCAGTTTTCAGTACTGGAAGATGTCTTTCCTTATACTTTCAGACTTTGCTGGGCTGGGTCCCACTTTGTTTCTGCATAAAAACTAAAGTGGAAGCCTCATAGGAGACTTGCCAAGTTCTCTTTGTTGTAGTGACTGCTGATTAAAATCTAATCTCCACTGAAGACCATGCCAGTCATTTTTAGATACTAGCCAAACTCTTCACTTGCCCTTTGCTAGTGGTAAGGTTGCATCAAACATTTGAATATGTTAGGTTGTTGGTGGAAATGCAAGTGGAGCTGCAGCTATGTAGAACAGTATGGAAGTTATTAAAAAAAAAAAAAAAGACTGGAAGAGTGGCTCAAGTGATAAAGAGTGCCTGCCGAGCAAGTGTGAAGCCCTGAGTTCAAACCCCAGTACTGGGGGGAAAAAAAGTTAAAAATAGAATTACTCCATGCTCCAGCAATCCTACTTCTAGGTATTAGTCCAAAACAACTGAAATCCTAAAGAGATGTTAGTACTCCCATGTTCATTGCAGTACCATTCATTGTAAGAGGGGAAAACTGTCCACTGATAGATGATTGGAAAAAAATACAAGGGAACATTCAGCCTGTAAAAAGAAATTTTGTAATATGCAGCAACATGGGTGAACTTTGAGGATGGTATGATTAAATGAAAAAAAGTTACAGGAAGACATACTGCATGGGGAAACCCGTAACGGCCAAAATTTGTAGAATTAGTGTAGTAGCGAGGGGCCTGAGGAAGAGGGCAATGGGTAATTACTGGTCAGTGAGCATGAAGTTTCAATTGAACAAGATGAGTAAGACAAAATGAAGAAGTACATAGTGTGAATGTCCACTTAAAAAGTTAAGACAATAGATCTCGTGAAATGGTCAATGCAATAAAATAAATAAAAACCATAAAATACCACTCTCAGCTCTGAAAATCTTTTATTGACATTTGCCTATCATTCCCATCTATTCACCTTTATAACCCTTCACTCACATCCTCTTGTCCACACCATCCTTTGCTCTGGTTTTCACTTTCTCAGCTTTCACTTACTACTATAAATGTGACTTCAAACTCTGAAACTTTTATTCCCAAAATTGAGCCGGCAGCACATGTGCTGTCATTGGCATCGCTGGCACATTCTATTTTGAGCATGCACTTTGTTCCAAGTGCAGGAGATGTAGGCATGGACAAAAGAGCAAAAAGAAAAAAAGTTCCTGGTCTTATTTTAGTAGGGAGAAAAGACTATAAACAACCGAAGTGTAGAACTCAACAACAAAAGTAAAGACAAAAAACATGCAAACAGCTGGAAACTAAATAACTCATTACTTAATGAAGAATGGATCATCGATGAAATAAAAGAGGAAATTAAAAAGTTCCTGGAAGTCAATGAAAATGAAAACACAACCTACCGGATCCTACGGGACACAGCTAAGGCAGTCCTGAGAGGAAAGTTTATAGCCATGAGTGCATATGTTAAAAAGACTGAAAGATCCCAAATCAATGACCTAATGATACATCTCAAACTCCTAGAAAAACAAGAATAAGCAAATCCCAAAACAAATAGAAGGAGAGAAATAATAAAAATAAGAGCTGAAATCAATGAAATAGAAACCAAAAAAACCATACAAAAAATGAAACAAAAAGTTGGTTCTTTGAAAAAATAAACAAGATCGATAGACCCCTGGCAAACCTGACTAAAATGAGGAGAGAAAAAACCCAAATTAGTAGAATCAGGAATGCAAAAGGGGAGATAACAACAAACACCATGGAAGTCCAGGAAATCATCAGAGACTACTTTGAGAACCTATATTCAAATAAATTTGAAAATCTTAAAGAAATGGACAGATTTCTAGATACATATGATCATCCAAAACTGAACCAAGAGGAAATTAATCACCTGAATAGATCTATAACACAAAATGAAATTGAAGCAGCAATCAATAGTCTCCCCAAAAAGAAAAGTCCAGGACCTGATGGATTCTCTGCTGAATTCTATCAGACCTTTAAAGAAGAACTGATACCAACCCTCCTTAAACTGTTCCACGAAATAGAAAGGGAAGGAAAACTGCCAAACACATTTTATGAAGCCAGTATTACACTTATCCCAAAACCAGGCAAAAACACCTCAAAAGGAGAACTATAGGCCAATCTCCTTAATGAACATTGATGCAAAAATCCTCAACAAAATAATGGCAAACCGAATTCAACAACACATCAAAAAGATTATTCACCACGACCAAGTAGGCTTCATCCCAGGGATGCAGGGGTGGTTCAACATATGAAAATCAATTAATGTAATAAGCCACATTAACAGAAGCAAAGACAAAAACCACTTGATCATCTCAATAGATGCAGAAAAAGACTTTAGTAAGATCCAACACCATTTCATGATAAAAGCTCTAAGAAAACTAGGAATAGAAGGAAAGTACCTCAACATTATAAAAGCTATATATGACAAATCTACAGCCAGCATTATACTTAATGGAGAAAAACTGAAACCATTCCCACTAAAATCAGGAACGAGACAAGGATGCCCACTATCCCCACTCCTATTCAACATAGTACTGGAATTCCTAGCCAGAGCAATTAGGCAAGAAGAAGGAATAAAAGGAATACAAATAGGTAAAGAAACTGTCAAAATACCCTATTTGCAGATGACATGATCTTATACCTTAAAGACCCAAAAAACTCTACTCAGAAGCTTCTAGGCATCATCAATAGCTAAGTAAGGTAGCAGGATATAAAATCAACATGGAAAAATCATTAGCATTTCTATACACTAACAATGAGCAAACTGAAAAAGAATGTAGGAAAACAATTCCATTTACAATAGCCTCAAAAAAATCAAATACCTAGGTGTAAACCTAACAAAAGATGTGAAAGACCTCTACATGGAAAACTATACACTTCTGAAGAAAGAGATTGAAGAAGACTATAGAAAGTGGAGAGATCTCCCATGGTCATGGATTGGTAGAATCAACATAGTAAAAATGTCGATACTCCCAAAAGTAATCTACATGTTTAATGCAATTCCCATCAAAATTCCAATGACATTCATTAAAGATATCGAAAAATCTACCATGAAATTTATATGGAAACACAGGAAGCCACGAATAGCTAAGGCAATACTCAGTCAAAAGAACAATGCAGGAGGTATCACAATACCTGATTTCAAATTATATTACAAAGCAATAACAATAAAAACAGCATGGTACTGGCACAAAAACAGACATGAAGACCAGTGGAACAGAATAGAGGACCCAGATATGAAGCCACACAACTATAACCAACTTGTCTTTGAGAAAAGCACTAAAAATATACGATGGAGAAAAAGCAGCCTCTTCAACAAAAACTGCTGGGAAAACTGGTTAGCAGTCTGCAAAAAACTGAAACTAGAGCCATGTATATCACCCTATACCAAGATTAACTCAAAATGGATCAAGGATCTTAATATCAGACCCCAAACTCTAAAGTTGATACAGGAAAGAGTAGGAAATACTCTGGAGTTAGTAGGTATAG